CTGCAATGATATACAAAGAAAATATGAATTACCTGATTTATAAGCATATTAATTTAAAAAGTGAAAAAAATTTGATTATAGTTTCAACTTGGACAGTTTAATGGGATTTGCATTTCCATAAAATGCAACAACCAAAGGTATTAATTTATAATAGATAATAAGCAGGTGATTTAAAAAAATGACATGCCAAATACATGAGGAACAAGTTTACGATAACAAGGGACCCATCTTGATAGCAAACATGATATATAAACAGTATTTGAATCAAGAAACCTCTGAAGAGCAAGATAATTTATTATCCTGGAAACATGGCAAAGTAAAGTAAAAGTCTACAAACACAAAACCTGTCAATAACTAGCTCTTGTTGGAATTTTGTACTGATGGTGTCTTCCTGAGTGAATTCAGAAGATCCAACAGAGTTTCAAGAATTTTCTTTTGTTCTTTTTGTCCACAGGCAACAAGAGCATTACTAACTAGACAGCCATTCCATTCCAACTATAAAGGGCTGCTGCATAAATGTGACAAGACTCTGAGTAAACAGGGAGCTAAATTGTTCTCTTATCAACAGGTAGGAGTGATGATGTTCTTTGAGGGAGGAGACAGTTTTGTGACAAGTGTTTTTCTTAAGGATATAAAGAGAAGCTTGTGAAAACACTGAGCCAGACCACAAGTTAAAACAGTGGACATCACAGTAGCTCTACACACTACAAAAGGATGCTTAGTTGAGAATAAACAGAAAAATCCTATAGGTGAGGAAAGAACATCATTTTCTATTCTTTCTTTCCTTGACTTTGGTCTCAGTACATAAGAGGATAAGCAAAATTAAGATTAGTTCATTAAGTTTTCTTGTCCCTCCCTCCAATTCTCCCTCCATCCTTGCCTTCTTTCCTTAATTCCTTTGCATCTTTATCTATTCAGTGTTTACCATGTAGTAGACACTTCATGACGTGCGGGGTATAAAAATGACAACCCCCTTCCCCAAAAAGGGCTTCTTGGAGCATATGATTTTATGACAGTGGTTGACATTAATCAAATAGTCACACATATCCATGATGACAAAGAATGTTAAGTTATAAAAGGAAAAGTAGATGATGTTATGAGAACATATAAAGGGAGAGCTGGTCAAATGTGGTCATCAGGAAAAAACTTGCTTGATGTCTGAGCCAAAATGTAAAGGATTTTTAGCTGTTAACTAGGACATTACAAGAAGGTAGGTGTGGGTAGAAAGGCTTTCAGACAGGGGATCAGCATGTTCAAAGCTGCACCTGAGAGGAACATAGAGAACTGGGAGACTCAAAAGAAGGCAGTGCAGTTAGTGTACAGAGAGCAGAAGAAAGAGCAGCAAGAAAAGAGAAGGGTGAGGCCAGACTAGCCAGATGGAGCTTTGAGGTCCTTGCTGAGAATTTTAGTCTTTTCCTAAAGGCATTGAGAAGCCACTGAAGAGTGGTAAGATGAGATTGACATAATTCAATTTTTGTTTTTACATAGATTACTCTGATTGAAATGTAGATTACATTGTAGGGTGGCAAGAGTAGGTGCAGAAAGGTTAGGAGAAATGGTCTCTTGTAACTGTGGCGGTGACTGTAGTAGTAGACAGTCAAGAAATATTTTGGAGGTAAATCGACCCAGTGATGCGTTGAAGGCTAGTCAACCCGAAAAGAAACTATACCAGACTGCTCTGTTGTTGTTTGGCTAGGAGAAAGTATTTAGCTAGATTCTCCAAGCTTTAGGGTTCTGTAGATTGCAGGAAAAAAAAAAGATAATAAAGCAAATAATTTTATGGTCTTGGAAAAGAGTTATTAAACTGATTAATGATTGGATCTAAGTTGGACTTGGAAGGAGGTGAAGATAGAGAACAACTGAAACTAATGTATAGAACATAGAATTATCAATTGGCTGGAAGTACTAATAAGTCAAGAAAGGTAATAGGTAGGTATCTGAACAAGCACACTAGCCAAGTGGGGATTAATTCACTTCAATCTGGTGCATGTTACCTATAATTCTAGCATCACCATCTCCCCAAAGCATGTTACTGGTCATGAGATTCTTGAGTAAGAGGACTGAGGATGTTAAGCACTAATATTTTACCACTCTTAGCAAGCAACCAAAGCCAATAACCAGGGAGAGTGAGGATATATTTATAACAAAATGCTGTCTAGAAGGGACTGTGGAAATTATCTAGTCCAAATTTCTCATTTACAGCTGTAAAACAAAGTAGCAACCACAAGCTAACTTACGGAGAAATATGGCTAGAATCTCAGTCTACTGATTCCTAGTGCAGTTGTCCATTGATTCAACTTCTTTGGTTTCTGGAACTAGAATCAAATTACCCCTTTTGTAGACATTCTGTCTCATTTCACTATATCATATAATGCATTGTATTTAAAATACCCAACCTCCAACAAATATATGAAAAGATGTTCAACATCACTAGCTATTAGGGAAATACAAATCAAAACCACAATGAGATACCATCTCACACCTGTTAGAATAGTTATAATCAACAGAAGAAGTAATAACAAATGTTATAGAGGATACGGAGAAAAAGGAACCCTCATACACTGCTGATGAGACTGCAAATTGGTACAGCCACTATGGAAACAATATGGAGGTTCCTCAAAAATTGATTGAGGAATGTACCATATGATCCAGCAATCCCTCTACTGGGTATTTATCCCAAAGACTTGAAAACTCATATCTGAAAAGGTATTTGCACACCGATGTTCATAGCAGCATTATTCACAGTGGCCAGGACATGGAAGCAACCAAAGTGTCCTAAGATAGGTGATTGGCTACAGAAGCTGTGGTACATATATACAATGGACTATTACTCAGCCATAAGAAGAGATGAAATACTGTCATTTGCGACAACATGGATGGATACAAATGAAGACAAACAAACAGAGATTCATGGACATGGACTATAGACTAGTGGTTACCAGAGGACTATAGAGTAGTGGTTACTAGTGGGGTGGGGTTGGAGGGGGAAGGTAGACGGGGTAAAGGGGGTCAAAAATAGGAGTGTAGGGGGAGGGTGAAGTGAATAAAGGGGATCAAATATATGGTAGCTGAAGGAAACTGGACTTTGGGTGGTAAAGATACAATAGAATAGACAGATGTCAAATAATAATGTACACCTGAAAATTATATAATTGTATTAACCAATATTACCCCAATAAACTTAATTAAAAAAAATAAAATGCCCAACTTTCTCAATGAATGCTCTTCTACATACACATCAGAGTATTTTGACTATTTATTTCAAGTTAGAACATTTTTAAAAAATCACTATTATATTCCACCTTATCACAAAAACTAATTTAATATTCTGAATTATATGAAGGGGAGTAGATAAAAGAGAAACTAGCAGTTTCCTTGGCAATTTTTTGCAAAGACTCCTGGGTCTTCTTTCATTTTCTTTACCTTTTTTGTAATCTTCTATATTCTTTTCTCTGGAATAATATAAATTCTTGACCTTTCTTTAAGATGTCACCTTTGGCTGTGTCTCCATAGAGATCTTTCCTTTAAATGTTGAACATACAAGGGCTATACCATTTTATTAAGCTTTTCTTGTTTGGTAGTTATTTTCTTGGTTTGCTATTCATTTCTGTCGACGTACCTTTTATTCTGGTTTCAAAAACACTTATCAGTATCCATTGTATGCCAGACATTTTGCTAGTTACTAAGATCTTGGAGGTGAGCAAGAACAAATCTCTGTCTTCCCCACTCAGAGCTTAGTAGAGAAGACAAATAAAAAAAAAATGATCATTGCTGGGTGATGCTAGTGGACAGCTTGTTATTGTGAAGACTGTTAATGTAGAAACATTTATGCTTCCGATTCTATATGAACAGTATACTGGGTACCCAAATAGTGGAAGAATGAGTATTTTTTTTTTTCATAGAAGTACTCCAGCTAATAAATGAAGAAGAAATGATAGAGATAGTTAATTATCACATTGCAACCCCTAGCTATTGATCATTAACAGCTGCCCAATCAAACTCAAAACAGAGAAAACAAGACATTATGTATCTCCTAATGATAGAAGAATACACTACCACCTATGAAGCAGTCAAACCTAAATATGATCAAACCTGTACAATTGTACTTTTCAATATGGTAGCCATTAGCCACACCTGGCTACTGAGCATGTGAAACGTGGCTAGTCTGAATTGAATTGTGCTGTAACTGTAAATTTTTATCTTGATTACATGTTAAAATGACAATAATTATTGTTCCTAGTTATGTAAGATGTAACCATTAGAGGAAACTGGGAGAAATGTATAGGGAAACTACTATTTTTGTAACTTACTGTGAATCTATAATTATTTCAAAATAACAAGTGAAAAAAGGGGGGGATTTAAGAGACAAATTAACTAAATGCAATGTATGGACCTTATTTCAATTCTTATTTAACCCCTTCCCCCCAAAAGAACCTGGAAAAACATTTAAGACATATATGTAAGAAATGGAAATTTGAATACTGCCTGGATATTTGTTATGATAAAATTATTGATGTTTTAAAAGTATAATAGTAGCACTGTGATTACATTTAAAGAGTAAATTCTTATATTTTAGAGATGCTTTCTCAAATATTTATGAATTAAGTGATTCATGCCTGAGGTTTGCTTGAAAATAATGGAGGACAGGGTAGGGGTATAGAAGAAGTAAAATTGGCCGTGAATTAAAAATTGTTGAAGTCTTGGTGGGTGGGTACAGGGGTATTTATTATGGGATTCGGTCTGCTTTTGTATATTTTTATTATTTTTCATAATAAAACATTTTTAAAAATCACCAAAAGAGATGGAAAATTTCCTAAAGGATATTATTAATGCAGACACTTTTGACATTTAAAATATGATGGCTTGGATTATTTATAATTGACCCTTGGACTAGAGGAGTGAAAAAGACTTCTATTCAACTTAATTTTAATCAAAAGTATTTTTAAAATAGTCACTGAATGCTTACGATGGGCAAGACACTAAGCTTAAAAATGTCCTACCCTGTGTACATCATTCTGCTTCTGAACTGTTGGAAAATCGCCTCCAATAGGTGCCTGCCGGCTTAACTCATCATCTTTCAGCTGGAGCCACACCAGAAGTTCTTGTAGAGAAAGGTGCAGACGCTTCCACTGGTCAGAACTGGCTTCCAAATGGGATCTGAAAAATAACAGGAGCAAACGATATCAGAATATCTAAAAGAATAATTGACAATTCTAACAATCCCATTACGGTACATTGGTGTTTTAGTTTGATAATGTATAAAGCTATTGTGAACTACATAGCAGTTCTCAATACTAATCTGGCTACCTGTTTTTGAGAGCCATGCAATGGGGGTATTTTAATGGCAATTTTGAAGAAAGGCAGTGTTTAGTCCTATGTTCGTTTCCATATGCAGAATTCTGAGATTTTTGGCATGAAATATACCCTAGAATGGATTGCTTTCCCATAGCATTGCAGTGAATGATTCTTAACGTTTTTGATAGAAAAAATTGGACCCAGTGACTAATATAAACCACTCAGTTTTCATGTGACTCATGTTAGTACTGGAATTCTTTCGGAAAGGAAAGTCTCTCCCCACATTTTGACTTTTCCATTTCTACACCTTAGACAGCCTCTTCCATTGACTCCTTCCATCTGGCATCTGTTCCTTTCTGCTCCTCTTTCCCATATGCTTCTCCTTTTCCTCTACCATTCTTTATTCGTGCGCACCTGGGATTTGTTTGCACCAAGTTCCAACATTTTCTGCTTTGTTTCCTTTGTGTAAAATGTACTGAGACAACAAGTCACATGGAAAAGTAAAATCAGACATTTGTCTGAAAGCCTCCCTCAAACATGAATAATTTAGGCAAAAGACTGAATGCTTTACCATCAACTGTATTTAGAAAATGATAATCCATAGAAGCCATTTAAGAATACACAAATGAATGATCTGTACTATAAAATCCACATTTCATTTAAGAATGAGAGGCTCAATTAATAACATAAATCATAAACCAGAAAACAAAAAAGAGACGTGGAATTTTAGCAAGGCTCTATCTTTAGGCAAATCAAGAATTATGCTGCATTACTCATACATTATCAGCAGTTACTAATTAATTCATGAAAATTAATGTTGGCTATAACAAAAATACAATATAGTCTCTGCAAAGATTAAAATGTAGAGCAACCAGGTAGAACATTTTCCTTTGCCACTTGGTAACTTTACCTGACATTTCAAATACAATTCTCCTGCTGGCCTTTGTCAAACAGAATCTTCAAATAGTAACCATGTACTGAAATTAAATTGTTCTAAACTTTCTGAAGCATAATTTGATGACATATAAAAATCTTTAAAATGTATAAATACAGTGATCCATAAGCTTAAATTCAAGAAATTATACTTAAAGAAACAGGAAAAGCATGCAAAGATATAGGTAGAAAATGTTATTTACAGCATCACTTATGATTGACACAAAGTAGAAGCAACTTGAATATTCAATACTAGGGAATTTGTTATATATATAATCCTGAATTCATATAATGCAATGTTCAAATCTATGAATCCTATGCAGTATTCCATGTGATGATATAGCCAAATATTTAGAGATATAAAAAAGATTACCCTTTCAGTTGCTAAGTGAGAAAACAGGTTACGAAAATGTACACAATCTATTTTTTCTGAAACATTTGTGTGTATATGTGTTTCCATGCACATGCTTGACTATGCATGAAAAAATTCTGAAATGACAACTAGTTTATCCCTCAGAGGCAGATTTACAGATTTATTCCTTCGTCTATATACTTCTCCAAATTGTCAGAATATTTTTTCTATTATAAGCAATAGAAACATTAGATTTAGAAAAAAATGAAGGCATTTCTATTCGAGAAATTAAATTGTTTGAGACTCTAAGGGCATTTATTATCTGATAAATAAATCATGAGATACCAACAATAGTATGAATTAAATATAATAGTGTGGATTGCATATAGGGTAGAGGTCAGTTCTTCTGTTTCTGTTTCCTCCTTCTCTTTCAGTTATCATTTTTCTATGATAAGCCTAAGTGAGAATTCCCTATGCAAGATTTTAGCTGTTTAATGGCATGTAATGACTACTGGTTACAGAGATTCCCTGGGGTGTCGAAAATTTGCAGTTTGGTCCCCTTGAGGGCGAAAGAGGCTGTCAAACAGGACATTTTGACAGATGGGTAGAGAGAAGCATAGTCTAGACATGGAAAAGCAGCAAATGGGAGAAGAGTCACTTATTAAATAAATATTTGAGTGCATTTAAGTCCCAATAAGGCATTGGGAATAGAGAGAGGGGAAGGTAAGGGAGAACAGAAAGATGCCTAACGCTTGGCCTCCCTTTATCTAGGAGAGGAAATAAAATATCCCTGTGGGAGAGGTCTAGAGGAGGATAAATATGCACAAGATCACGCTGCCTATAGTGAGGCCTCCAGCTGTTACTTCTTCACTTAATGCAGTGCTACAACCCCAGTTCTAGGTTAAATGGTGCTAATTATCGGTAGTTCAGTGAAATCCGTTATGTCCCTTAAGAGAGAAAAAAATAGTTTGAGACTCAGGGAATTCAGTTCTAAAAGATCTAAGAGAAACTCCATAGCATGAGATAGAGAGGTTGTTAGGAGCCAGGAACACAGGACAGTCAAGAGTCAACAGAGGTGCAGAAGAAGGACCTGGGACCACATCTGACCAAAAACTCTCATGTGTTTGGATGAGGGTACCTTATTCATCCATAAGGTGTGGAGTTAGGTAACATTTCAGAATGTTTGATCACCTTAACCACATATCGAATGACTGTTTCTTTCTTTTCCTTGCTATAGCATGAGAGTGAAAGGCAAGATGTGATATGCAGACAAAAACTTAAGCCAAACACTTATAAAGGCAAAGGATACTGGGTAAGGGCTGGAGAGGAGAAAGTCAGAGAATGACTCCTGATTTAAAGCAACATCTACAAAGAAACATTTGAGCAGCTTGTTTAAAATATAGATTCCTAGGTTCTACCTCCAAAATTTTTGTACTTTTAACAAGAACCTTCACAACTCAGCAGGTGAGCTCCAAAAACATTCTGTGAGAAAGAATTTCTTAAAGTATTTCCTGTGTGCCCCAAATATTACCTATGAACCTCCACAGGGCAAAGGTAGTATTTGTCAGTGACATGATTTTGAAGGAGATCTAAATGTAATGAAACTATGAGCTCAGAAAACATTTTCTTTGGCTGCACTAAGCTTGTGAAGTGTTTTCAAGACACATTTCTAATGCATTTGTTGTAAGCAGCTGTGCTATTTCTATTTTCAAGATCATATACCAAATATTTCTCAATGATTAACCTGTGTTTGTATTTGGAAAGTCTCTTCCTGAAAATGTTTTTGTTTTTGTTTTTTCCTATTTGTAATGACTCCCCAGCCTCTTGTTTTATAATAGGCTATTAGGGCTGGGAGAAACCTTAGAGATTGTTATCTAACCCTCCTGTTTTACAAATGTGGAAACTGAGATGCGAAGGTATTAAGATAGCTGCTGAAGCACATAACTTGAGCTGTCATATTAAGACATGGGAAATAGAAATTATAAACTTTTCTTATAGGAGAAAATCCTTAACCTTAGTGGTTTTTACCAAATGTTTTGGATCCCTGAGCAAGGCTTCCTACTTATTGGCAGATACACTCTACCCCTACCTCCTCAACAGAAAGTAACAGAGGAGGTTTGAAGAGGCACACTTAGCTTCTATCTGTTTTCTATTAATCTTTATTAGAGAAGACAAGAGCTTAGGGATTACTAGCTTTTAACAAGGCAAGTGCTGATCTTTAATAAGCAGATAATTTCTACAATTTGTGAGGTTTAGGTAAAATGCAGAACCTTTAGGTGTGTTGGGATATATTGCTTGGTCTTTAAGGAACTCTTCAGTGTCAAGACTCTAAGAATTATAGGGGCTGCTAAAGTGATAGTTATTTCTCTAGACACAGATATTTCAAATGTGATTTAGTTGATGCCTAGTTTGAAATCCTTAATAAAACTTTACTCTGAAAAGTATGTATCCTTAAAGCAAAATGTGTTAAATTGAATTCATTTTTCACTTTTCACTTTGACTTTCTTTATAAAACTAATGATTTATCCCTGTATATCTTTGGTACCCTTGTGTAATAGGTAGCACTTAAGCATACAGAAAGAAAAGATAAGAATGCAGGAATAATAAGGAACCAGAGAAATAAAATGGGAGCTATGGGGCTTTAAATAAAGAGAGAGAATTAAGCGCAAAGAGAAGTAAACATTTTTTTTCCAGATGGGCTATGAACTCCAACTTTCAAACATAATTAACATTCTGAGAGTAAGAGAAAGAAGGTCAGAGATACTCCATGTACAAGTTGCATTTTTCTCTGCATCCTTTTGCTCTTTGTTCTCCACTATAGAAAGACTTCTAACTATTCTAACTTTTAATACTGAGTACTCTCTTGGAGGTTTATTGCTGCTGTGGATTATATAATGTTGGTGTTCTAACTTCTCATATTAATGCTCAAAATTTCAAGTGAATATTTGTATATGACATTACAAATTTCTCTACCAAGTATAAAAATCTCACAGAATGTAAATTTTGCTGAAATTATGTTGACAACATATTTACAGAGTTAATGGTATATACAATAATCTAGAAAATAAAATCTGCTGGTAAATAAAATTAAAATCTTCATCCCTATTTCTTATGTAAAAAATTCACTTGACAACTTCTCAAATTATTAATATTTTCAAAATTAAAATGCAAGGTTTGTGGATATAGAATATTGGATGTGTGCATTCATGTAGGTATACATGTAAATCAAAAATTTTGACTATTTTTATTCCACTGAAATCAGTTGTTTCCTTTTGTTTGATGGCACTCAACAATCACTGAATATTCTTATTATGCCTCTTGGACATGATACGTGTGGACAAAATACATGTGGAACAGATGTCATATACTTTCCTTGAACTAAATTAGGAGATAGTACTATACAATTTCAATTAAAGTATTTTTTTCTCAAAGACATCTTATTAATTTTTCCTTATACCATATATTTGTAATTAATCAGCTCCATTTAAATATGAGAAAACCAAGGTAGAGAAGTTTAATAATTTGCTTAGGTTCATTAAGAGCGATTGCAGAATTAAAAATAATAGAATTGTAGAATGGCAAGGGAAGTTGAGACCACCCATGTTTCTGGTCAAAATTCCTCATTTCAGTGAGGGAGAAAATTGAAGTCTGAAGCACTTGAGTGACATGCTTAAGATTATATGCTAGGTAATTAGTAACAGAGCCAGGAGAGAAATTAGGTTGCCCAGCACTGGTCCAGGACTCTTTCTACTCCATCTCACTGACTCATTTAGAGCTTGGAGTTTTTGTATTCATCTAATTTAGCTGGAAGCAGCAAGCATAGCCCTATGAAACAACTCATGAATACTTAAAGAAACTTGCCATCGAGTGTAAATAAGAATAGTATAGGGAAGACCTGGTGAAGAAATCATCAGAGAGAGAAATATTCATTGTGGTATTTGAGCCAAAATTTGGAGAATGAGAGGAGAGATGGTACTCCAAGTGTGAGGACCAGCGAAGGTACAAACTCATATGGGAGAATGAGAAAATTGTTGGAAAGAAGGAATGGGGTTAAAAAGAAGAAAAGTCTACAGCTATGCCACCCTGAACGTCCCAGATCTCGTCTGATGTTGGAGGCTAAGCAGGGTTGGGCCTGCTTAGTATTTGGATAGGAGACCACCTAGGAAGACCAGGTGCTGTAGGCATTAAAATAAAAAAAGAAGAATATATTTGGCTCAGAGAATCTGTGTTGGCGAGTAACTAGATTGCTGCTTGGTGAGGAAGGAACTGGGAGACATGGGAAGAACAGAAACAAGAAGGGGTTAGTAGGGTTTTATTAGACAGCGAAGGGTCCACTAGATTCTCGTGACTAAACATAAGCTTTGTGGGAGCAATGATTTTTTTTTTGTCTGTTTTGTTTGCTGTTTTTTTTCTCAGTGCCTAGAAGAGTGTTTAGTAGATGGTAAACACTGAGTAAATATTTGTTGAATGAACAAATAAGTAAATGAATGACTAAAATATGGATGCCAAGAAGACTGAAGTTCTTGACCAAAGAGATAACATGATAGAAACAGTGTCCAAGGAAGGAAATTTTGCAAATGTGTGATAGATAATCTCAATATGTAAAGGAATGGAGACCAATTTATCAGTACAGAATGACATGATAAAGACTTAAATAAGAATTGTAATCACAGGAAGAGAAAAGACAGGGCAGAAGGAAAATAAATGGAGGGGAAAGGACATACTATGGACTTGAATCCGGAAGCACAAGGATACATTGTATGAGCAAATGGAACCCAGAAGAAAACGTCAAAATTATTTGGATTCAAACTCAATTTTTTTTCCATTAAAATGGATACCTGTGAAATCAAGCACTAATGTTTTTATATTTTGAAATTTAAAACTGGCTGTAGAATCCCCTATAAAACAATGAACCAACTGTAATTTTTTGTGTAATATGTTATAGCTTGGGCAAACCCAGGCTGTTTTTTCCAGTGTATTTTTGGAACTATATTTTAATCATGGTGACTTTTCACTAAAAAATAATGTCAGTGGAGAAATTGACTAGATTCACAGTGCAATCTTATAAGTGTCATTAATAGTTCTGTATCTAATTCTTCCAGTGCTATTTATCCTATTTCATAGCCATCTCAAATTACTACCTCTACTGTGCTTCTCTCAACTGACTCTGACATCGTGTATAGATTGACAGATGCCCTTATTTCAACCAAGTGTCAGGGAATAAACTGAATTGCTTTGATGTGAAGAATTATTTCCTTGATTTTTATAAGCAATTGTTTATAACAACACATCCTATATTATTAGACAGGCATATTAAGAAGCCAAAACCATTGATCTGAATATCGAAATTCTAGAATTTGTGGCACCTTAGATAAGCTAAGGTAACTGTTTTCTACTTGATTAATGGCAGTAAGAATTAAACTGTGGTAACTGGCATATGGGAAATTGCTGAGAATGAAGAGCCCATATTTTGGCTGACATACTGTTTGCTGCTTTCAATTCTCTTTTTATTTCATCAAGTTCACATGAAGGAGAAAAAAGACACTGAGTGATGTTCAGAACAGTTTTAGCACCTTTCTTTTTTCTTTCTTGCAAAAAAGAATAACTTACATTTCTTTACCAGTATCTTTTCTATCTCACATGTTTTGTTCCTTTTTAATGACAGAAGTTTAAAAAATGTCCTTTGTCATTAAATATCCTGACTTGTCTTAGAGTTTAAGCTGTAGAAAGAGAATGGAGTCTCCCTACCTATGAAAATGCCATTACCCCCAACTTATTACCGACACACTGATACCAAATTCATAGACCAAAGAGGGAGATAAAAACAAATATCTTGAAACTTGGAGTGCAAACTTGGGAGGGGAGACCTCATAAATAAAAATAAATTGTTTTCTACTCTTAAGAATCTATTTCTCTGTTTCATCCTTTCACTTATTATGTATTTATGTATAAAAGTTGGCGAGTCTTACTTTTTCCTTCTTTCTTTTTTACTCTATAGTATAATATGATGTTTAGAAGCTCAGACTCTGGAACCAGACTCTCTGTGTTCAGATCTTGCATCTGCCACTTACTAAGTGACCTTGAGAAAGTTATTTAGCTTCTCTGTGCCTGACTTTCTTCAAATGCAAAGAAATGATAATAATAGAATCAATCTTTTAGGGCTACTGAGACCATTAAATGGGTCAAAAACTATAAATCACCCATGATATTGCGTGGTATGTGGTGCACCATGTGTTAGTTCCTATTTATTATTATTATTATTATTACTATTATTATTTCATAGTAAGTGCAGATTTTTGCAAGAGTGCTTTCAAAGTAATAAATTTCAGTTATATTTTTTCTCATTGTAGAAGTAAACATGCCATATGTCAAAAGTTTGGACAATTTAGAAGAAGTACGAAGAAAAATCTCCCTTATGCAATCTTACAGCGTAGAGGTAGAGACCACTCCCATTGCTCAGTGCATTCCCTCATAACTATTATGAAGTTCATTCGTCCTCTTTGACCTCCACTACCACCCCTCCTCTAGACACAGAAGAAAGCACAAAATATTTTTATAAAAGGATGCAAATTAGGAAAAGCAACTGATTAGAAAGCAAGAAGCCTGACGTCCACTCCCTGTACTTCCTGTCATTTTGGTGACACTGAGCATTTCACTTACTATTTCTGCTCTTTGTCCTCGCACTGAACTATGGTGAAATGGGTATAGCAAGAGCTTCACTTTGCCCTCCTTAGAACAATGCTTAGGTGTATCCACTAGCTTCTCAAGAGGAAGCTGATACACAAGAAGGGGCAAAGTACAAAATAAGTGTACATAGGACAGTTAAAGAATTAGTCTATGAGAGGATATGGTAACAAAATCTGAGAGGAAGCTAAGGACAGGAAGTTGCTAGAATCTCTCCTTAGCTGTGGTAGCTATGCAGAGGTCTCCTCTCAACTGCTAATTACAATGCGTTACGGTATTTAAAGAATGTCCTCTGTTATACATTTAGAATAATGCCAAAGACAGAATTCTATGATAGATATACGTAAATTTTATCACTTTTTTCTTAACCCTGTGGTAAGCCAAGAAAGAATATGAAATTAGGATAGCTATGTTCCTCCTTTAAATTCACTCTAATGTCTTAATATGCATCTCTTTCCTGGTTATAAAACATCACCACTTGAATCTAATCTGAACCTTCAAGTATCATCTCCATACTAAGCGAATGAAAAATTCATTTATTCAAAATAAAATGAATCATTTTGAAATTGGGTGATTTACATAAACATGAGATATTAGCCACTTATGCTAGGAAAATGAGGGAAATTTTGCCATTTTAATTCATCTCTGGCTTTTTTGCCCCTGATCTTTTCCTACCTAATGTTGAGAGACTTTTTCCGCAGCTCACTCCACTTGAAGTTCATGTTATCTAAACGTCTTTGTAACAGGACTGCATCATCAGAACCTTCCAGAGATCTCAGGATTTTTTGGCCATTTTCATCCAGGGTGTGATAGATATCCGTGTGAGCTTCGATTTCTCCTTGGAGGTCCTACAGGACAGCAGGGAGAAGAACACGTGTGAATTACCAAACAAAAGAGACCAGCTTCAAATGTAAATTTGGACAATTGTAAAAAATAAACCATTAGTTCAAAAGACATTTCGACTGGGCCAACTAACAAAATGATTCACCTCCAACTCAGTTTTCTTGGTGTATTATCTCTTCATGTTTTTATGTAGATTGAAAATGGGCATCTTATTAGGTATAATAAATTTATCCCTTGACATTATAGATTAGAATATAATGTGTTGCTAACTTTACAAATTTCATAAGTTATATCTTCTAGTCCATGGACAGAATATATTGTTTTATGAGTAATATGAAATAAAATTCCATGATAGAGTCCACCCCAGTGCCAATCATTTCATCGCACTATGGGTCAAGTCATATTTTCCATGCACAGAGTAATCTGAAGAGTTGACTCTGACCATAGAAGCATGGAGAGTCTAATAAACATTTCTGTACTCGGTTCATACCACCAGCATATTAACAGAATTCTATCATCAAAGAGAATCTTTTTGACAATACACATTAAATTCACCTTGGTATTATAGCATCGAACATTTATTACAGCACCATACATTTATTAGTAAGATTTCCTAATTGAAACACCATTGTATTTTTAGGCTTGACAGGTGGAAAGTCCATAGGACCTTGACAAGAGTTATAAGACGTTATGCATTCAACCTCATTTGTACATACACAGATCAAGAAAATTATCATAGTAGAAGAATCTGACCTTTACATGGTATGTCTTCCTGTGTAACATTTTCAGCTTGAACCGGGGACTACAGCACTGATCCTGTTGCATAGCAATCCTGAGAAAACCCGGCGACTGAAAGAGCCCTGCTTGAAAATGCCAACTTTGCTTACATTCTGTTGACAGAATGAATTTTGAAGCACAGGCCTCACTAGTCAATAATAATAAACAGCCACTTTGTACTCCCCAGTAAACGGTAGCCAGGCCTGTGGATGTGGGAGGGACCTCAAAGAGAGGAGGCCTGGAGTATGCAACTGACAGTTTATATTAAACAGCCAACTTTTCTTATCATTTTGCCATTATAAGCCAGAGACATTATAAATTCATTTTATATATGTGTTTCCCTCCTTGTTCCCAGCAGAACAGTCAAAGCCAAAAGAACATTCCTTAGAGAGCTGCTGGGTACCAGCATTCCTTTCTGCCTACACAATGAATGGAGGCTTTGTACATTATCTGACTTACTTTTCGAGATTTGTATGCTCCTGTTTAACAAGTTTAAAAATTCATTCTGAAGCTTGGAACAATTAGATTGACTGGTGTAACTAGAAAAGTTTTTTTTCCCTCTTTCTTTCTAAAATTGAATTAAATTATTCTTCTAAAGTAAGGGAGGAAAGTGGCTGGCAGCAATAACGTGTTAGAAATTCTGAAGAACTGGCCTGTGTTTTCAGTTAGTCTCTTAGATGCAGAATTTTGAATGTTGCAGAAGTAAGGTAGATGGACAATGAATGTCTCCCATCACTATTTTGGCAGCCAAATCATCCCTGATGGACCCTAAAGAGAATTTTGTTCCATTTCCTTTAACTGGAAGACAGGATGGGAAGTATGGATAGAACCATATCTGAAGTTGAAAGAAGAGAAATACTAAAGCAGACCAAGTAGCATCCAACTCTAATCCATTAAAAACAATGTTCTGGAAGGAAATAGTCTGATTTTGAAACTAGTTTATGTGGTTGAAAACTAGTATTGGGCTTCTTGCAGAAATGAAGTTTAATCAGGTATACATTCATTTTATGTTTGTGTCCCTACATGGAAAAACATATCCTGCTGATTTTTTTTTTTTATTTTAAGCAAAAAAGTGAGGTTAACTTATCTAAACAATTCAGGAATGAAAACCAAATTCAAGTTATCCAGATAATTCCACCAATTCTCTCTTTTACTTTACTTTCCTTCTTGTTGTATTTGATTTGTACACTACTTAAAACTTTGCCTCAGCGTATACACTTAGGGAATTACAACCTAACTTTCAGTTGTTCAAGAAAATAAAATATTTTGACTAATGCAACCAGCTCTTTATATTAATATACATATGATAGTGCATTTGAATTTTTATATCCTGCATTTATAGCGGAGACCCAAGCTCAATAACAGTTCCTTAAGATTATGTATATCATGAAGTCATCAACATTTTGTTGAATACATGAGAGATCTTTCCAAGCATAAACAGGATGTTGATTCATAAATTTGCTAACTTTCATCTTTGCCATTTATATTATACTGCACATAAACATCTTAGTTGTATCACCAAAAAATAAATGATGTTGTATCTTTGTTGTATCATCAAAAAATCAATAACCTAGTATTTAGATTATTTGTCTAGTCTTAGCACTGTGAAAAATATGATAAATGCAAGAGACAGGTCTATCTTTACTTTTCTTAAAATCTAGTGATATTTTTATTTAATCATTCTTATTACCAACTGAATATTGATGAAAATTTCCTACCAAATCTCATAGATACTGGGATAAGAGCTTCTCCTCTTGGAAATTCAGAAGTGGCTGAAGTAAAGTCTTAGCATTGGCAGTAAGGTAACTCTTAATTAGTATTATTATTAGGTCAGTATTACTTCTCTAGGTCATGACGGTGGTTTAGAGGAAAAAATGACACATGTACTGTAAAGGGCTTCAGAGTTTACAAAGCACTTACCATTATACCGCTTTAGTTATTCTTCCTCCTTGCCTTGTGAAGTACATAATATTTTCTCTGTTTTACAGATGAAAACAATGAGGTTCAGAAATGTTTCAGTAACTTGCCTAAAGTCATATATCTTGTAATTGTTGGAACTGGGCAATGTACCCAGTAGTTTTTTTTTAAGTTAAAATTATTGGGGTGACATTGGTTAATAAAATCATATAGGTTTTAAGTGTACAATTCAATAGTACATCAAATGTATACTGCATTGTGTGTTCACTACCCAAAGTGAAATTTCCTTTCATCATCAAATATTTGACCCCTTTTACTTTTTAAAAATATTTGTTTTTATTTTTTTCCTGGCTTTACTGAAATATAACAGACAATTAGTTGCTCATATTTACATTGTGTAATTCAATGAGTTTTTTTCAATTGTAGTTGGCATACAATAATATATTAGTTTCAGTTGTATAGCATAGTGATGAGAGACCTATATAACTAAAGTAATCACTCAAATATTCTCTGTATCTATGAGTTTGTTTCCATTGTTTTTGTCGTTGTTGTTATTTATTTTATTCTTTAGATTCCACATGTATGTCTTTCTCTATCTGACTAACTTCATTCAGCACAATACCTTCTAGGTCCATCAAGGCAATATCTTTTTCTATACCCTTCCTTTTAGTCTGTGTGTGTCTTTTAATCTGAAGTGAGTCTCTTGTAGGCAGCGTATATAGATGTCTTGTTTTCTTATCCATTCAGGCACCCTATCTTTTGGTTGGAGCACTTAATTCTTTTCCATTTGAGTTATTTGTTGACAAGAATACAGTTATTACCATTTTTTATTCATGACTTTGGTATATGGTTTTTCTTCTTAAAAAAGTCCCTCCAACATTTCCTGTAATATTGGTTTAGTGTTGATAAATTCCTTTAGATTATTTTTGTCTGAGAAGCTCTTTGTCTGTCCGTTGACTCTAAATGATAGCTTTGCTGGATAAAGAATTCTTGGTTGTAGATCCTGGGTTTTCATCATGTTGAATATTTTGTGCTAAGTCTTTCTTTCCTTAAAAGTTTCTTTTGGGAAATTAGCTGCCAGTCTTATGGGTGCTCCCTTGTAGGTAACTAAGTGCTTTTCTCTTGCTGCTTTTAAGATTCTCTCTTTGTATTTAAACCTTGGCATTTTAATTATAATGTGTCTTAGTGTGAGCCTCTTTGGGTTCATCTTTTTTGGGACTCTCTGAGATTCCCAAGATTGTATGTCAATTTCGTTCACTAGGTTAGAGAAGTTTTCTATCATTATTTCTTCAAATAGCTCTTCAACTTCATGTATCCCTTCAGGTACCCCTATGATCTGGATGTTTTTACATTTAATTTTGTCCCATAGGCTCCTTAAATGATTATTATATTATTGGTTTCCTTTTTCTTGCCATTCTGATTGGGTGTCCTTGGCTTCCCTATCCTCTGTATTGGTGGTTTGATCCTCTTCTTTATCTACTCCATTGATTCCTTCTAATATACTCTTCATCTCAGATAATGTGTTCTTCATTTCTGACTGGTTCCCTTTTATAATTTCCATTTCTGTTATGTTTTTTATCTCTTTGTTAAAGTTCTCACTGAGTTCCTCTACACTTTCTCTAAATTCACTGAGCATCTTTATAACCAGTGTTTTGAACTCTGCATCTGTTAGATTACTTGACTCCTTTATTCCTGGATCTCTGTTCTCTTCTCTTAAATGGTTCCTACTTCTTTGTCTTCCCATTTTGGCTACCTTTCCATGTTTGTTTCTATGTACTAAGCAAAGCTCCTCAGTCTCCCGCTCTTATTAGCGTGGTTTTGTGTAGCAGGTGTCTAGTGGCACAGTCCTGAGAGAGGTTCAGCTGCAGGCTAAGTTCCCTCCCAGCCTCTGCCCCTCCAGGGCCACCTGTTAAGATTCAGCAAGCAATCCACAGATGCTGTGCTTATAGTTGCCTCAAAAGGCCACACGAGAAACCGAGGTCAGCTGCTATCAGTGTGGGTCTTAGAATTGCTCAGCAAGGAGCACCAGACTTGCTGAAGACACACCTGGATGTGGCTTGGGTGGGGGTTGCAAGTTGGGAAAGGTGGAGTTTCAAGGAATCCTCTGGGCGGAGTGACCTCTGTTACCCAGTTTGATGATGTTTCAGCTATGGTGGTGCTGAGTCCACATACTGGGAGTAGGGGAGGGCTCAACAGAGGAACAATGGATACCACCGGCACTTCTGCCTGGGAGAGAACCTCACCTCTGGTCCTCAATCCGACAACTTAGTGTCCCCTTGTAAGCCCCTGGCATCCTCCGGAGCATCCAACT